GTGACATTAAATGTTAGATAAATCAATAATGTTAAATATTACCACTCCTGAGGATATTTAATAATGTAAAGGCCTGTGGAAAGTATCACAAGTATTTTAACTTTCTGGGAATAATTTGAGCTCCCAAGTGACACCAACAAACCTTGTATGTTTTCCTGATAAGAGTTCTTGTAGGAAAATATAGACTGGGGTAGGCTGGGTCTCCCTGTATCGTTGACCTCATCCTGTAACCAGGAAATACGTGCCTGAAGCTGAACTGACAAGAGGGACCTAGTGCTGCAAACAGTTTTTCCTACTTAAGTAAAAATGACCTAAATTTTGTGAAATAATCTGCAACACAAGGGAGCTCGTTCCTTGGACAAAAAATTTATGACAGTTTTCAAAGCACTGTCAAGTGGTGTGCGGTGACTGTGCAGATGACTTGATCTTGCCTTAAGACACGGGCTGAGAACACTGAGACTGTACACAAATAAGAATAAGGAAGAAACCAATGAAAGCAAAATATAAACAATTACATGCTCACATGAACAGCAAAACACAAATGTAGTCTAGAGGGGGGGAGGGGCAGAGGGAGGAGGAGGAGGAGGAGGGGAGGGGAGGATGATTGGCAGAAGGAGGGAGGGCAGGAGGCGGGATCTCACTAATGCGCACATTGTGAGGGTGTATAACACGCCCCCCCCCCCCCCCGGGGGAGGAGCGCTTTTACAACTGGACCTTTACTCTGCAAGTGAGAACCACGTAACCTAAACATTTGTACCCTCATATTAATTTGAAATAAAAAATATATGAAAACCTAAAAAAAAAAAAGAAGAATAAGAAAGAAAGGGACCTTAACATCTAGTAAAGTGCACTGGGAGTTCAAAGGCAAGAGGTAATAGTTTCTGGTGGGGGTGTCAGTGAAAGCTTTATGGAGGAGGCAGGATGAGCCATGATGCTTCCTGGAGAGAGGGCACTCTAGGTAGAGGGACAGAGTGTTGGCTGGTGGCTTAACATCACTAGAGCCTGGCGGTGAGGTTGGAGATAGGTAGATTTATTTCTGCCTAAGTCTTTTTCTAGAAAATGGAGAAAGTCATATGGTATCTGGCATATGAAAGTACAAATATGTGAATGTTATTATTAAAAGAAAGTATGGATAAATATTCAGAGCTAGAAAGTATGGCATGTGGGTGGAGGAGAATATTTATATAAAGATTGGCCCTCAATGGGTATAAGCAGCTAAGATTAATTTACAAGATGATTAATATTAACAGACATTTGTTTTATTAGTCACACATCTACAGCAAAAAACCAATATACACTGATACGGGAGCCTGTCTTCTGTAGCAAAAAGAAAAACAAGGCTATCTCCCTATCACTTAGCAATGGAACTGGTATCAGATATGCGTTGGGTGAAATTGGCAGGCCAGATAATAATGATAGCTAACATTTACTGACACTATGTGCTGGTTACTGCTCTAAGCATTTACTTTTCATCACACAACCATTATAAGAAATATAAGAGGTGCAATCATTATTGTGTATGACAGATCAAAAGGGAAAGGAACTAAAGGATTAAGTAACTTGCGTGGGGCCGTACAGCCCGCAAGGGGTGGAGCCAGAATCAAACTCAGGCAGTCAAAGCCTCGATTGAGCCTTAAGTCAAAGCCTTGAGCCTTAACCTTTCAATGTCGTTCCCTTACGTCCAGGTGGTTGTACTGAGGAGGACTAGGGCATCTCCCTCTCATTATCTCGTGGCTAATTGTTAGGCCATAGCAGAGTCAGTTTAACCAAAGTGACCATGACAATTTGGAGCCCAGGCATACAGACGATGGCTTTTCAACTTTCGTTTCCTTTTGGAATCTGATGAAATTCTATGAATGTTCTTCCCAGTAAAATCCATCCCCCTAAACACATAAAGTTTTAGTTACAACTTCATAGGGTACACAGTTCTGCCTCAAATCCATCTACTGGGGCTTCCAGAAGTTAACATATTCCAGGCTAAGAACTCCTAGACCTATATCACTTACAGTGTGGTCTGGAATTAAGGCTACGCAGTATCTTACTGTAGAATGAACATTCACAAGCGTCATTTAGAATCCCTGTGAGCGCTCTCCAACATCACTTGTGGAGAAGCAATTATTCTCTATCCCTTTATACTTGAAGACCTGTATTTTTCCTCTGTAGAGTCCGGTGAAGATTTATGCCTGCTGATGTTTTGTCCAGAGTATCACTCTCGGAAATTGAGTTTCCTTCTGTCACTTTGTTTCCGCAAGCCACACAAGCGTGAGGAAGGACAACCAAAAGTGTGGCTAGGAGAGATCGTGAGAATTTAAATAAGGCCGATGTGCCAGGGGAGGGAGAGGCAGAAGGGCCCTTCTCAGAGCAGCCGCCCTTTGATTTTACCCACTCCACTCTAAGCATTTCTTGATAACTGGACAGATCCTTAATCCCAAAATTGACATATAGTTATTATTTATCAATGATAATTATAGCTAATATCAATTGAACACCTGCTGTTTTCTAGGCATTGTTCTAAGTGCTTTATGATGTTTTCTCACGTGGTGGTCACATCAGTTCTGAGTGCTGGATGCTACATTATTCCCATTTTACAGATGGAGACATTTGCCTGCATTGAGATTTAATAGGCGGCAGAACAAAGATTCCACCCGGGCTGCCTGGCTGCAGAGCCCAAAGCCCAGCATTCCAGCACCTGTTCCCTCTCCAGAAGAGAGCAACATTCGTATTTCACAGTTTTCCTTGACGTATTTCTCTGTACCACACTCTGCATTGTATACGTGGGTCATTACGAAAGTTTTGAGATACACAAATGTCAAGAAACAAAAACCCTCACAAGAGACAAAAACCACACCCATAAGCCGAGCAAGTTGCAACTTGGACAGGTGAATCAAAAAGGACCCTGTCAACTATGTTTCTTGGAAATTAAATAATGGACCATTACACTGTCTCGAAAGTTTCATAGTGACCTACGTACACTGGGATTCTGGCACCTACTTTCAATTTCTCTGACTATAGAACTAAAGGACAGCAGCCCCAGTTCTGGGCCAGGCCATTTCCTGTTCTGTCAAGTCCTGCTGAGAAACTGTTAGGGGTCCCACACCTGACTTGTTCCCTCTTACTCGAGGCTCAACTGGTTGGGCCCTTTGACTCATTGCTCAGTCAACTTGATTACTCAAGCTTTACTCAAAGCTGCGCTGACCTCTCCTGCCGGCATTCCGCATGACCTCTGGCCTGGGATGGCTGAGCCACTGGGGGCTCTGGCTACTTAGCAATGCGGACACCCCGTGCTGCTTCACTGGCTCCTTCTATACCCAGTCCTGCCGTCCTCGAGCCTTTGTTCCTGGGCCAGCTGTGCCTGTGATCTCCAAGCTGTGGTGCCCACAGGGCGTAAATTCCTTGCCCTCTTTCCCAGAGGAACTTCTTGACTTGGGTGAGAGCTTCCTGGATTGAGATCACGTGTGTGTTTTTATTAACTATTTTGTGTCATTACCTGAGAAGTCGAAGTGATGGTGGTACCATCCGTTCATTTATGACATGCTTATTAAGCACCCAGTAACCACAACCAGACCCGGGCCAGCATCCCATTCCCCACTTTACTGAAGAATACCGATGATTTCTGATGTGGGCTAGTAGTTTTAAATTCCCCTCAGAGAATCTGGTGATTTTTTTTTTGTAGAGACAGAGTCTCACTTTATCACTCTTAGTAGAGTACTGTGGCATCACAGCTCACAGCAACCTCCAACTCTGGGCTTAGGTGATTCTCTTGCCTCAGCCTCCCAGGTAGCTGGGACTATAGGTGCCCACCAAAACGCTGTCTATTTTTTTGTTGCAGTTTGGCTAGGGCCGGGTTTGAAACTGCCACCCTCAGTATATGGGGCCAGCACCCTACCCACTGAACCACAGGTGCCGCCCGAATCTGGTGATTTTGTGCACAGATTTTTAGGCAGCCTTGGTATATCTGAATATCCTAAGTACAATTAGCAACTAAGGTTGCTTTTTGTCTTCCTACCAGACCCTTGCTGTGTGCTACTTTTTATCTATTTTTTATTTTCATCACCTTCTTTCATTATCTTTTTAGTGTTCAAGATCCATGCTAAGTAAAACAGGTTTTATGGGCCTTCCTGCCTCTTCTCTCAAATACCAATAAAACCCAGACAAGCCTGTGGATTCTACCAGTGGAGAGGGATATATCTGCTCCAGCTTCAGATGTGCGTAGTAGTGAATCAATCACTAGGCTTTTATTTAATATTAAGTGTCTCATCGCTAAAAACACAACTCTCCTTGCAGCCAGATAGCTCTGGCTCTGCCCTTCTGAAGTAATCTGGACCCTGTCACTCATTACTCTTATTCCCAGCAACAAGCAGAAAAGGCAATTTTCAAATTGTTTCTACGGACCATAGGGCACTTTTCTTCAGAATATTACTCTCTCTGTTAAAGAGCACATGTGATTATTTCTAGTCAACATGTCAAGAAATTTTACAGAAGAAAAACTGTTTACATAGTGGCCACCCTGCATTTTGGAGGCCATAGACTTGAGCGCAAAGCCTGATGTGTCTTTTATCAGCAAGGTGAACTCAGGCAAGTCACTTAACTCTTTGCAACTCAGTTTATCCTTCTGTAAAATGGGATGATTAGTGTAAAAAGCTGCTACAGGATGAGCTTAGCAGGGATATAATAAAATAGAGCAAGTTAGCAAAATTTTGACCTAAGAGAGTCTATTAGTAGTAGCAGAAGTAGTAGAATTTATTTATTATTAAGAAAGTCATCTACCTGTCTGTATTGAAAGCAGCCTGATATATCTATTTTTGTTCACTTTTGGGGAGTCACTTTTTTCTGTACAAGTTCTCAGTGCTCTTCAAAGGTGGAATGTGATACAGTTTACATAAACACTCGGACTCTCACCTTGTAGAATTGTATAACAAAATTAAAGCTTAGAGAAATTTACATGACGTTTTTGCTTTCCTTTAGCCTTCTTCAATAAGATGTCTATGTTTTCATTGCAGGATGATGAAGTGGAGTTTGTCCAAACCGGCTATGGGAAGGATATGGTCAAAGTTCTCCATATTCAGCGAGATGGAAAATATCACAGCATCAAAGAGGTGGCAACTTCAGTGCAGCTTACTCTGAGTTCCAAAAAAGATTACTTGCATGGAGACAATTCAGACATCATCCCTACAGACACTATCAAGAACACAGTTCATGTCTTGGCCAAGTTCAAGGGGGTATGTGTCCTTCATTCTTCTCAGATGCTGCCTCTATGTTGAGTTTGCTGCAAGATAGCATGGGGGTTATTGCAGATTCCCTTTACCTTTTAGCCTATTTTCACATTTAATTCATTTTAAAAGTTTCCTTTTGTATCCTAAGATTTTTAGGATTGCAAAAAGTTCGCTTTGTTTTATTTTTGTTGTTGTTGTTTTTTTAAACTTACCTCTTTGTTTTTTCTTTTTGGGTCTGATCTCACTATAATTTTTTAGGCAGAGAATCTTATTGGATCAATTTACCATGTTATCTGTAATTAGGATCATAGGCAAACCAAGCTCCTGAGATGATTTCATTGTGCTTTCCTTTGAGGCATATCACTTATTTTTTCATTTATAATAGAATGGTGTGCATTTGCAAAAGAATATACCATTTCTCTTCCTGTTGTTACTATAGGACTAAGTCTTTCTTTCTTTTTTCTTTTTTGAGACTAGAGTCTCACTTTATCACCCTTGGTAGAGTGCTATGGTGTCATTGCTCACAGCAGCCTCAAACTCTAGGTTCAAGTGATCCTCTTGCCTCAGCCTCCTGAGAAGGTGGGACTACAAGCACCCACCACGACACATGGCTATTTTTAGAGATGGAGTCTTGCTCTAGCTCAGGCTGGTCTTGAACCCTGAGCTCAGGTGATCCCCCCCAATTAGGCCTTCCAGAGTGCTAGGATTATAGGCGTGAGCCACTGTACTGGCCTCAAAGTCTTGCATATAAGATACATTTTTCTTACTGTTAAAATTTATTTTTTCAATTGTTAATGCCTTCCTAACCTTTTAGACTCTATTACCATTTCCTATCCATATATGGCAGTTAAAGGCATTTAATAGCATTTTCAAGAGGAACTTAAATCTAATTGAGTGTCCCCCTCTGGTTTCATTAAGTGTGAGGGACCACTAGCAGATTTCTGGACAGTTCAAGATAATTTTTACTTGCTGAGAAATCTTAAAAAGACAAGAAATATAGACTGGAAAGCTTCTTTTCTCATGTTTTTGCACAAAATCCATACACACATGCATTATATGAAAAAACTAATTGTAATATAAATTCTGCAAACACTATTTCCATCTTGAATCTTTTTCTCTTGCTAATCAGAATGGCCCAGCAAACATATACAGTGCTATGTAAAAAGGAATCATTTGTTTCCTTCAAAAAATTATTAATAGAAAATAGGTCTATATTATGATATGGAAGAGGGCCAAGTACCTCTGATGATTATATTTCCTATACTTTATGAGAGATTGTAGAAAAGGGAAGGATGAGTCAGGCACTGTGGCTCACACCGATAATCCTAGCACTCTGGGAGGCCAAGGATGGAGGATCTCTTGAGCTCAGGAGTTTGAGACCAGGCTGAGCAAAAGAACATTCCCATCTCTAGTAAAAATAGATAAATTAGCCAGGTATCTGAGCCCAAGAATTTGAGGTTTCTGGAGCAATGAGGAAGCCACGGCACTCTAGGCAACTCATGGTCACTCTGGGCAACAGAATGAGACTCTGTCTCAAAAAAAAAGGGGGCAGCACCTGTGCCTCAGTGGGTAGGGAACTGGCCCCAAGTACCGAGGGTGGCAGGTTCGAGCCCAGTCCCGGCTAAATTGCAACAAAAAGATAGCCAAGTGTCGTGGTGGGCACCTTAGTCCCAGCTACTCTGGAGGCTGAGGCAAGAGAATCGCCTAAGCCCAGGAGTTGGAGGTTACTGTGAGCTGTGATGCCACAGCACTCTACCAAGGGCGATAAAGTAAGACTCTGTCTCTTAAAAAAAAAGAAAGAAAGAAAAGAAAAGAAAATTGAAGGATGGACCCATCTTTAAAAACAACTTAGAATCATTCATTATAGTTAGAGTGACCATATCATTTCTTATCTAAATCATAACATTTTTGAAGTAAAATAATATTAATGTTATTAATAATTATTCTGGGAGGATAGGTATAAACAGAACTGTGCTGGGGAAAAGTATATCAATAGTCCATCTTAGTTATGGGCAAAAGCTTTAATAATTGGTACACTGTGCTAGGACTATAAAATATTGCCCAGAGAGTAATATGGAGAGTTTTTGTGGCAAGTGGGGAGGTTCTTTATGGGGGTGGAGAGCTTCAAATGACCAACAGAAGGGGGGGCAGCCCTTAATTAATAGTTTTTCCTGGGAAATGGAGAGGCCCATGTGCAAACCTCTTAACGAGTCCAGAGCATGAAGGTGGCTGTCGGTACAGGCGATGACAGAGGCAGAGTCAGGAAAATCTGAACATTAAGTTGTTTTTTGTTCAGCCACTGACACATCCCCTCCTGCAAATGGGTTTCTTTGAAAGACAAGAGGGTCTCACCGGCGATGGCGGTTATTCACTTCACTTAGGAGATCTAGTGAGGAATGGGGACCTTCATGCCTTGAGATTCTTTCCAATTCCATGGGTCTGTCATTCTAAGAAGCAATTGGTCTGGAAAGAGAGCTCCATGAGTCCTTTCTGTCAACAGACAAAATTACAACAAACTCTGTTATACATTTAATTGGCTTTTATGTACTATTCGGGGAAGCCTCCAGTCTACCTAATGCAGAATGAGGCCAGTGACGCAACAGGGGATTTTATAAGGTGGGAACAAGGAAATAAAAAAATAGAAAAAAATGGATTGGTCAATGTTGGGTTACTTTAAGTTACTTTTTTGTAGGTGTTAAAAGAGTGGGGACTTCATTATAATGTGGACTCAGACATTTAAAAAGTTTCCTTTTCTGCTTTCTGTCTGGAAATAGGATTGCAGAAAAGTTTGCTGCTTTTCTCCTTTTTTTCCCAGACAGAATCTCACTTTGTTGCCCTTGGTAGAGTGCTGTGGCATCATAGCTCACAGCAACTACGAACTCTTGAGCTCAAGTGATTCTTTTGCTGTAGCCTCCCAAGGAGCTGGGACTATAGGCGCCCACCATAACACCGGCTACTTTTAGAGATGAGGGCTTGCTCTGGCTCAGGCTGGTCTCAAACTCCTGATCTCAGGCAATCCACCCGCCTCGGCCTTCCAGAGTGCTGGGATTACAGCGATGAGCCAACCACACCTGGCCCTTTTTTTTTTTTTTTTGCAGTTTTTAGCTGGGGCCAGGTTTGAACCTGCCACCTCCAGTATCTGGAGCTGGTGCCCTACTCACTGAGCCACAGGGGCCGCCCTTTCTTGACCTCTTTGTTTTCTCTTTGTGGCTCTGATCTCATGCAAGTCTCTTAGGCAAAGAATCTTAACTGGACAAATTTACCATGGTAACTGTAATTAGGATCATAAGCAGCTTTTGTTTTCAGGAAGAACTGGTCGGTTTTGGAATCCATCTGCTTCCTTAAAGTTTCAACTTGATTATGTGGTGTGGACCATGAGCGACTCCACTTTGGCCTGGTCTGGTATGTGAGGGTTTAGGGCAGGAGCCCAGTCCAGAACAGTGGCCTCACAGAAGTGTATTTAACAGTGTTTGACAATTATTTTGAAATTTTATTTCTAATAGCTAGCATTGTTTTTCGTCTTGTGTGTGTTAACAGATCAAAAGCATAGAAGCCTTTGCCGTGACCATCTGTGAGCATTTCCTTTCCTCTTTTAACCATGTCATCCGAGCTCAAGTTCACGTGGAAGAAGTCCCTTGGAAGCGTTTTGAAAAGGTCAGCTTACTTATTTGTGCTCCCAGCTTAATTAAAGAAACTGGCTTTATGGCATGCGCTGAAATTTTACTGGAAACATTTCCTCCCCCCTCTCCCTAATTTTTAGAACGGAGTTAAGCATGTCCACGCGTTCATACACACTTCCACTGGAACGCACTTCTGTGACGTTGAACAGATGAGGAATGGTAAGAAACTATTTTTCATGCTTTGGTTCTGCAGTAGTGACTTCAGGATTTTTTTTTTAAATGTCTTCTATACAACTCTATTTATTAACATGGGGGAAAACTACAGAGAATTAAATCGGAGATGGGAATGAACACGGTGACTTTGGATTGCATAAAAGAATTACCTACTTTTTACCTTGAAAATATAAAAATGACATTTTTCCATTTGGCAACAAAATCTGGGGGTTGAGTGGGGTAGATTGTGTATATTACCAGATTTTGAGGTGAGGCACAATAAAAAAGGCCCAGGGTGACAAGAACTCATATCTCTGAATTTTCTGACTTATATTTTTGTATCATGCCATGTGGCCATTATAGGAACCTTTATAGGATATATTTACTAAATAATAATCAAGTTTTCCCTAAAATTCTATTTGTACAATAAAACCATTAATATTATTGGAATTATTTAAAAGTGAATATCACTTAAAATAGCAGTGACAATTATACAATTCCATTTACCAAGAAATCTAAAAATTAACCATGGCCTATAGTTGCAATATAGATCTTATTAATACCTATAATTTAATTCAGCAAACAATGAAATTTCCAAAGCTTGTATTCAGTGGACCTGCTGAGTTGTCAGAGCTGCGCTCAATAATTGGCTGAGAGTTATACCAGAAGGCCTCTAAGAATCATGGCACCGAAGATGGTAGAAATGCCTCTCTCCTAATAAGAAATAAGCTCCAATGATCATTATAAAATCAGAGTGTGGGGGCAAACTTTTTTCTTTTTCTAATTTCCTTTCCTTCTCTCCCCTTCATTTTCCTTTCTCTGTTCTTACTTTATCTCTTCTTTCTTTCTTTTCTAAATCTCCTCAGTAAGAATTTGGGGTGGCATCTGATAAAGGGCAGACATATTATCAGGTTCATAAAATATAAAGTCTTCCTCCTCTGAGTTCTACTGGGTAACGTCCTCCTTACAAAGTTCTCGCATATCAGTTATTATTTACTATAGGTCCCCATCTGTGTCAACGTCTAGACGCAGCTAGGCCCTTATCAGTGTCTGATTAATAGTTATAAAATTACTCTTATAACAACTACACTAGGGATCTTACCTAACGAACGCAAACATTGCAACCTAATCGTTTTACCCCTATATTAATCTGAAATAAAAAAGTATTGTTAGATAAAAGATAATAGATAGTGATTGTATTAAGTTGAAAGGTGATTTTCATTCTCCAGGCGTATGGTCAAGTGATGCATATAAATTCTCTGAGCTGTTTGTTAGTTAAATTGAAACTAACTTCTTTTCTTTCTTCCCTTTTCTCTCTCCCTCCCTTCCTTCCTTCTTTCTTGCCTCAGTTATGTGGCTTAGGAGAGGGAAAGAAAAGTTGCCCGGCCCTTTCCTCCCAGAACCACCTTTTATGAACCTACCTTCATAAAAGCAGAAACTCTAAACCAGCGCTTTCCAACTGAAATAGGACACCAGCCATGTATTTAATTTTAAAATGTTCTAGTTGTCACATTAGAAAAGCCAAAAGAGACAAGGGGGATGAGCGTTAATAATATAGGCTATTTACAATATTATATATTCTAAATATATTAGTATAAACATAGTACTAAATATTTTAGTATGTGGAAATATAAAAAATCTTAGTATAAATTAGTATATATTATATTATATAAATATAGTACTAAATATTTTAGTATGTGGAAATATAAAAAATTCTTAATGAAATATCTTACTTTTTTTTACAGAATTAAAATTTTGAAATCCTTTATTCTATATGTACAGCACATCTGAGAAGACCTCTAGGAACCACATAGCCAAAGGTGGCAGAAATGTAGTAAATACACTACGTACGGCACCCTTGGAGGCATATTCCAAGGGCTCGATAGCCGCTGTGTTGATTAGTACAGCTTTAAACTATTTCTTAGTGACTTTAGGAATACTTAGAATATTCTTCATTCCACTTTCAATTATGTAAAATAATAGCAGGGGCTAGAATTAGACTTCAAGAAAGCTAATAAAAAAAAAGAGAGTACTTATGAAAAGTGACCCTCATTCATATGACTCTCATTCATATACTACTCGTTCAGCAATTGGATTTTGAGGATTTATATATATATTTGAAAGGGGCTATAGATAAAGAGAGGACTAAGATATTCTCTGACCCCAGTGAGTTTACAGTAGATGAATAACAGGACATAGACCTATAAACAGATTTATTGCAATACGAGGGCAAAAGGGAGTTAAAGTCATAGGGAATCTATTCATCTATCTAAAGGAATAGATCGGTGCAAAACCCTAACTCTTCCCAGGGAAGCTTGACAGGGGAGGAGGAAATATTTCAATCAATTTTTAAAAACTGACTCAGAGCATGCTGGCATAGAAGGGAGACGGGAGTTACGGGCGGAAGAGGCGGGATACATGTGAGTGAGGTTCAGGAAGGAGGGAAGAGGGAAAGCAGAATATTCTGAGCACCTGCTTCGAGCTGAGTGCCCGATGGGGCGAGCAGTTTACTTGCTGTTAGGAGGGCGGAGCATGTGAGGAAGGGTAACAGGTTCAGTGGGTCTGAGGTCTAGAATGTAAGAAATGGAAACGAAGGGCGGCACCTGTGGCTCAAGGAGTAGGGCACCGGCCCCATGTACCGGGGGTGGCGGGTTCAAGCCTGGCCCCAGACAAAACTGCAGGAAAAAAAGAAAGAAAGAAATGGACATGAAGATGCAGACGTTGGTTTGGGCTGGATTCTGAAGGGCCTGTGTGACGTGGTAGCAAGTTGAGTATAACTTGGAGGCAGTTCTGGTTAGGCCCAGGGGCCATGGGGTCAGAATGAACTGCATCTGCAACTTTGTGACTGGGGGTGAGCGACTTCTGCTACATTAGTGAGTTTTTATTTGTAAAATGAAGATACCAGGGCCCACCTGGACCATTGTCCACAGAAATAGAGGGGTAAATATTAAATTGATTTTATCAAGCATTTAGCACAGTACCTGGCACCACAGAAAGCAGTCCTTAAGTAACAGCCATCGTTGTTTAGAACGATGACAAAGAATCAGGGGAGGTCTTGAATGGTCAGGTGACTGTGACTGTGTGAGTGTACGTATCTTGTTCTTTGATTGTGAGCAAGGGATGGTGAACAGGCTGAAGACACAGGCAGTAGTGAGGCGTTTGGAGACGTGTTGCAGAGAGGAAGAAGTGCTGGGCTGGAACCAAGGCCGGAGAAGCAGCGATGGGGAGACTGAGGGCAGGGGGAGCCTGAGGGGCAGGGGGAGCCTGAGGGGCAGGGGGAGACTGAGGGGCAGGGGGAG